GCAAGCAATATTAAACTATAACAAGGTTTATTTATTAGTGAAAAGGGGAAACGGGACATATAACCAGAGGCCACTGTGTCTGAACAGCAAATAAACAGCTTCTCGTATGTCGGTCTGGTTTGCGACATCATTGAAATCTCTGCTCTCCTGAACTTTCGTGCCTGCACAGATAACCTCATGTTCTTCCCCCGGTTCAGGATATGAGTGGCCTTGATGACTCGCGTCACTGCAGGAGCTGTGTTGTTGAGTGGAAGCAGGCCTACGTTGGGCTTGACCTCGCTGCTGGAATTTCTGTATACACATAAATGGAGCCAAAGACACCCAAAACTAGAGGCCTGGGATCACCCACGTGTTTCTCTTGTTAAAAGAAGGCACTTTGGTCTCTACGTGTTCTCTGTGTTTTTCTTCTGTGAATCAAAATGCGAGGTTGGGAATAAAGACAGGTGAGTTTCAGTGCAGTTAGGAGGAACAGCACCTGCTCCGTGGGTTGGCACCTTGCAGTCTGCAGGACAGATGCAGTCTGCCAAGTGATTTCATCCAGCCCACGAAGGGTGGATGGGAGCAGCGGGGAAAGCAGTGGTGACTGCTGGTGGCCTGCCTTCAGACAGCACCTGCCACTCCTAAGAGCGTGGCACCTCCTGCCCTAGTCCAACATCCTTCTTTTGATGGTGGCTGTTATATGCTGTTTCAGATGGCTTTACAATAAACTTCCTACACCAGGGGTGTCAAACTCACTGGTGTCCCTGAGCCGGATCTGGACCCTGGGTCTCCTTGCAGGATGGATCCAAGCTGTAAGGAGCCTTCTGGGACAGGTCTGGGCCTGGTAGCAACAATGGGGGAAGCAACAGGGGCGTGACATAGGAATTAGTAGAGCCATCGCTTCCACCGCATGCTTGCACGTGCCCATCAGAGCTCCAGCATTGGGAACCTGGTGCAAGACGCTCCCCTGATCACCCTGCCCTCAATTCCCAGCCCCAGGTGAAATGGTACCAATACCCAAATCTGGCCCACTGGCCATATTTATGATGCTCTTGTCCTACAGGATACGTATGGCCCGAAGGGAAGTTTCCTTCTTCCCTTTGTCAGTTAGAAGCAAACTTTTGCATGGCTAGATGAAGGCCTATAGGTAGTAAAATCAATGCATTTTTTCATGTCTAGGTACTGGTGAACTCATTGCTGCTTTTGCAGAAGCCTTCTCGATCCATCACTGCAGGAGGGTGTATAGCATTTCTTCATTTTTAAAAATCTTGTCAGGGTAAATGCTGGGTTTCCTCACTCTCTAGAAATGTCTATTTCTCAAGTTAAACAGCACTAAACTCAGGGTCGCAATGGTCTCTCTTGGCAAAGAGTCCCGGAGGTTAATTACACATTGTCAAAATGTATCCGTCTTCTGAATAGCTAATTTCTGCCTCTCAGCTTCCCTGAATGGCCCCTGACCCTTGTGTTAGGAGGGATTAAACAGCAGTGTCTGGTCTAGCTTTTTATACCATCTATTGGTTCACCTCTCTCGTGTCCCCTCTTCACTGCCGCCTTTCAACTGAACAGGCACAACCTTTTCAACCTGTCTTCATACAATGGGGTTTTTTTCAGGCCTCTAATTATTCTCATTATTCATGTGTGCAACATCTCTCTGACAATTCCCTTTCTGAGAGGGACCAAAACTGAACCTCTCGGTCTAAACATAAGGAAGTGTCAGTGAGTCCAATAAAGTGTCAAGTGAGTCCGTGCTCTTTTCTGTAATATTGTCCTTTCCAGCCTTTGCAGCAACATTTAGTTTATATGTATATATGTGTACATATGTACACGTGTGTGTGTGTGTATGTGTACATATATACATCTGTATACACACACACACACACACACATACATACACACGTATGTGTATATGTTTGCACAGATATAGTTCTTCCACAGTTCATTGCAGATACCAGAGAATCGTAGAAAATGAAGGTAGGAAGGGACCTCGGGGGGGGTCACATCTAGTCCAACCCCCTGCTCAAACCAGGACCAGCCCCAACTACATCCTCCCAACCAAGGCTTTGTCTAGCTGGGTTTTGAAAACCTCCAAGGATGAAGAGTCCACCACCTCTCTGGGGAGCCTGTCCCAGTGCTTTACTACCCTCCTCGTGAGACAGTTTTTCCTAATAACTAACCTCAGCTTCCCTTGCTGCAACTTGAGAACTCCGAACTCGGTCTCATGCCTTGCTATTCAGATTATAACTCCCCCTCAAATGGATTACCTTCAATTTTCAAGAGGGAGTGAGGCAGAAGGCAGGGAAGGAGGGCACCTTAGAGACTAACTGGTTCAGAAAGACATGAATTTTTGTAGAAAGCACTTTACTTCCTCAGATGCCAGCATAAAATGTCCTCCCGCCTACTAACCCCAGCACTGGGGTCTGCTCCTAGCTCTCTAAGGCCCTTAAATCCAGTCTCTGCCTGCTGCTCTTCTTCCCCAGACCCAAAGTCTTGTATCAATACCCAGCCCCAGCAGGTATCCTTAGCCTGCCCCCTCCCCTTGCTCCTAGGCCATGGATGTAACCCCTGTAACTGGGGTTAAAGCACAGGAGTGTCATCTGACTCCCATCCTTGTCCTTTTTTCCCCTGGAACTTGCACTTAGGTATGTGTGTACACAAAGGGTGGTTATGAAGTTCCTGCAAAGTAGGTTTAAACTGGATATCAGGAAAAACTTCTTCACTGTTAGAACAGGGAGGCAATGGAATAGACCCCTAGGGAAGATGTGGACTCTCCATCGGTGGAGGCATTGAAGAAGAGGATGAATAAGTGTTGGCCAGGGGTGATCTAGGATTAGCTATGCTATGCTACAGATACTCCCCAGGCTTCTGGGCTTTGCTGGTTGCCACGTCAGATTGGGAAGGAATGTTTTCCCCTCCTGTTCCTACAGGTGTCAAGGGTATTTTTTCCACTGTCCTCAGAAGTATTGGGCATTGACTGCAGCCAAAGCTGGGGATTTTGACTGGGGTGTGCCAGTGCTCCTGCTGGGACAAGCGCCCTGAGGTTCTTGGCTGGAGGGTCTTGTCCCTCCATTCAGGGTCAGATCATCACTGTATCTGGGGTCATGAAGGAATGTTACCCCATTGCCAGGTTGGTATAAACTGTGAGATCTTCGCTTGCCTTTGTAGTGGGGGGCTGCAGTCCTCTTCCTTGAATCTCTCCAGAATATTTTGACAACCCTTGCAGCAGCAAGACATTGCCCACTGCTGCCCCTCTGCTTTACCTGTGGCAATTTAGGGTGCTGCGCCTTGTGGTTGTGTTCCAGGGTTGGTTGTGTTATTCTAGTAATGGGTTTGACAAGGATTTGTATAGGATGCTTGGATAGGGATGAACAGGCCACAGGCAGGGGTTGGACTAGATGACCCCGGAGGTCCCTTCCAGCCTGACTGTTCTGTGATTCTATAAAGAATACGGTAGTAGACCATTTTCTGCAGGGGCAAACAACAGGACAAGGAAAACTGGGGTTAAATTGCAACCAGGGTGACTTAGGTTGGAGATTAAGAAGAGCTTTCTCACTATGAAGGCAGTCAAGCATTGCAGCAGATCACCTACAGAGGATGTGGAGTTTCCATCACTGAAATGAGTTAAGTGCAGGTTAGATAAATAGTACATTGGGATGATGCTTCCTTGAGCAAGGGGTGGATTAGGTGACCTCTGGAGATTCCTTCCAGCCCTGTTTTCCTGAATCTAACAGCCCCTGGGAAAGGAGAGATACGTTACAATTGCTTCCACCCTCAAATCCCACCTCTATGCTACCTCTCCCTGAAAGGGAACTTCCTCCTTCTTTCCTCAACCCTGTCTAAAGGAATCTCCAGGAAAGATCAGAAACTGAAGGTCTTGCGTCTTCTAGGACTGGTCACCATCTGATTTCCTAAGATGGCCTAAGGATTAACGACCGGCAGCAGGGTCCGGTAAGAGGCTAATGGAGCCATTGCTGGTGGTTTGGCACAGTTTCCCTGAATCCTTGTGTTTTCGCAGCATCATGGGATATAAATAGAAAGCTGTGTCCGGTTGCAATTCATGCTTCTGAAACACAGAGTGTTATTGGGAGATAGGGAACAAAACACAGATTAGTGCCAGCTTGACAGGCTGACCTGAGCAAGGGGTCAGAACCGCAGCGACGTACCTTCTAGCCCTGATCATGGAAAGGTTGTCACAAATGGCTAACAGGAGGGGGAGGGCGGTCAGTGGAAAACCTCCAAGGTGTTACCGTGACCCAGGGTCCAAGTAGGCAGTACATATAAGTGACTTTCAGCCAGCTCTTGAAGCGTTCCCTCCCTTAAGACAGGGATGTCAAACTCATCAGGACCAGTCTGTGACCCACGGGCAGCACTGCAGGCCTGGTGACAGGACTCCACAAGCTGGATCCAGCCCACAGACCATATCTTTGATACCCCTGCTTTAAAACACACAGAGCACAGCTTATAACTGGCTCTCCCAAATTCAGGCTGAGCTACTGGTTCTGCGTGGAAGAAAGTGTACAGTGGACCAAAAGGCCAAGTCAAAGTCATGGGTTGCCAATCACTGCACAGGGGTCCTCCAGTGCTCCTTGGTCCTGTGAAGGGTAGTGGAAGTTAATGATAATGAACTACTTTATTCCATCAGTAACTAGAGGGGATGCTAAACGGCATGTTAACACAAACACAAATCCTTGAGCCAAACAAACCAACAAATGAGCAAAGCAAAACCTTTAGCCTTTCTCCAGGAAGCAGGTGAGATGCCTTTTAGCTCTGGCCCTTCCTAGATGTTAGCAGCTAGCTCCTTTAGGTTTCACTCCATTTCCTGAACACAAAGTGCTCCTTCCCCAGCTCAAGCTACTTCCTTGCTCTCTCTTCTTTTGGGCTTTTAACTGCCAGCTAATGACCCACAGCTGGGCTCCTACCCCAAGGCAGACTGCCCCATTCAAAGAGCCAGACCATCCGATAACAGTATTATTTCTATATACTGCATTACTGAAACCATAACTGGAATACTGCTTCTAGTTCTGGTGTCCACACTTCAAACAGCAGGCTGAAAAATTGGAAGAGGTTCAGGAAGGAGTTATACATGTACTTGAAAGTTTTGACAAGACACCAAAAGAAACTCTATCTAGTGTGTTTAGCAATGAGAAGTGTAGGTGACTATTTTATGAACCTCTATGGAGAAGACACGTCCGATGATAGATGGCTCTTACATGAAGCAGGAAAAGCACACCGAGTTCCAACAACTTGGAGCAAAAGCTAGGCCCATTAATATGTAGAAAGCAGAAGCAAATTTTTAAGAATGAAAGGACCAAACCATTTATAGCACCTGCTGGCCTCCATAGTAGAGTGCCCCTCACTTCAGATCTGTAAATCAAAACTGGATAAACTTTTAAAAGAAGTGGTGCAGCTCATGCAGGAGTTATGCAGGGGGTCAGAGTGGTTCCTGGCCTTGAAATCCATGAAACTATGATATTTGAGCTCACCTACAATCTCTTAATCTACATTTCAGTGGAAATAAGACACTCACAGTCATGACATTACTGCAGCTATCATCAGAAATTTATCTTGTTTGATAAGGGGAAGAGGCTTAACAATGTCATCTCAACCACCACCTCCTCAAGAAATAATACTAGATGTCCACAGTGTGCCAGTCTATCGTTCAATGTATGTGTGCGAGTCAACACAGGATACATCTCACTGAACAGGGAATAACTTTGAGCTGCATGGTCTCAGATGAGGAAGAGTCAGATTTGCTGGTGTTAAGTTGAATTGTATGCTGGTTTCTGGATCAAGGATCAATAATTGGATCCAGTGGAGAACCCTGAAACCATCCTTGATGTAACTAGGACAGCAGAGAAGACACTTTCTTCCACAAAATAATACATTATTTTGCTTTGATTCACATCTTTTCATGAGGACCTGGATTGGATTTCCCTTGCGGTGCAAGGGTAAAAGTAAGTGAAATGGGCCCAGAATGGCATAGTCAAATACAAGACCAATAGCCTGAAGTTGAAGGAGTTGGAGGAAACCTTTCAGGATCAAAACAAGGAAACAATCTACCCCTGCCAAATATTATGTAAGGACACTCTCATTGGCTTCTGTGGGCTTTGAGTACCCAGCAACTCTTAAAAAACCCCAAAAACCCAGATGGGAGAGCTCAGAAAGCTTTCAACC